TGTGTGTGTGTGTGTGTGTGTGTGTGTGTGTGTGTGTGTGTGTGTGTACATATGCATATTTGGAGGGGGAAGCTCTCTGCATGTAGCCCAGGGTGTTCTGGAATTCACTGTGTACCCTGGGCTGTCCTTAAACTCACAGTGAACCTCTTGTTCTGCCCCCAGAGTATTGAAATTTTAGGCATTCATCCCATACCCTGCTAAAAGCCTCTTTATGAGTGTTCATTATTCTAACTAGTTCTTTCTGCACCCTTTGTTTAGAGAGTGTTCATGACCTGTTGATCTTTCCATCTGGATGTTATCTGCGCCTCTCCAAGCTATCAGAAGAGTTTGTGTATAAACATACTAATTGTCAAACTACTTCAGCGTTTCTTGTTTTGTGTAGGAATATATTTTCTTATTTGCTGTCACTTTACTAAAATCAGGCCTGTTTTGAGAAACTATGAAACCTGGTAGAGTATTAAAATTACAGTACACTTATTTTTATAGCCGTTCTTTCCTCTTTTTCTTTTTCCCTCCACCCCTAATTTCCTTCCAGCATCCCTCCCTTCTCCTCATCCTGTCTTTCTTCCCTCTTTCTCTCTCCCTCCCTTTCTTTACTCCTCCTCACCTCTTGCCCCCACCTTCCTCTCTTCCCTTTCTTCTTAAACATAATTTCCCAAGTGCTGATCAATTTTGGGGTGTAAATTAGGCTGGGGTTCAGAGGGAACCCTCTCTCCTCCTTAGAGGAGACTCACTTCTGAATTGCATGGTAGTTAAAACTTACTTCATGCTGTCCAGGGATGAGAGACCTGAGCCAGCAGCACCTGCCACCAAACCCCGGCTTATCTCTGTTAGTTTCAGAGTCACACAGCAAGGACAGTCAGCCACCTGAAAGCTCATTCTCTAGCTAACAGCCCTTTTGAGAAAACCACAGTGTCAGAGCTTCACCTGAGCCTGGTGGATTGTGGGGTCAAAGAGCTGCTGGGCTGTGCTTACTGACAGGTTCACTGATAACTTTATTTTCCAAGGGGTCAAAGTGTGTTCTTGAGAGATGTGTGTGCTCCATTTGCAGATAGAAAATTACCTGCTCCGGAATCACGAGACCAGAAAATACCTTCAGGAGCAGGCCTACCGCCTCCAACAGGGCATCGTAACCAGCACTACCCAGCAGGTAAGGATGGGACTGTCTCCTTGCTGTCAGCGGGGGCTTGCAGAGCTCAGTTCCAGGAGAAACTGGCCTGGGGAAGTCACAACAGATGGAAAGAGAAGAAAGGGTATTCGAGGCATAAAGAAGGAACTAATTAAAATGGAATTCTAGAAGTTACAAGCTAAAGGGAAAAAATTTTAATTGCTACTTTGTAAGTGGTGAAAATTGGGAGACTGTGAAAGTGACAACTCAAGACTGAATAGGAAAGCTGAACAGTAACCGCTGATTTTACTTCACAGTTCATAGAATCGAATGCTATTTTTGATCACTGATACATATGAAAAATAAAGATACATTTGGTATGGAATCTGAAGATAGTGCTGGCCTATAATCCCTAACCCTGAAAGCCAAAAACACAAGGATTTAGAAGTTCAAAGTCATCTTTTTCTATATGCAGAGTCTGGGCTAGCCTGGGTTGCATAAAACTATTTCAAAACATTAAAAACAAAGACAAAGACAACAACCAACAACTTAATGCGCCAACCACAGACTCAAACCAAGCAGTTATCTCTGAAGGTTTGAGAGAAACTTCCAGGATTTATTTCATTTCATTGTCATTGCTCATCTCAGCGCATGAGTGAAAATACCGCCGTGGACATCTCAGCAGTGTTGACATGTTTACTGACAGCATGTATTATTTAATTAGTAAGAGTCAAGTAATATGTATCAAGGAAAAAAAAAAATAGTTTTTCTGACCTAGCAGAACTTTTGAGAAAGCAAGCATTATTTAGACTTTGCCAAGTCTTAAAAATCTAATTTTCTCCCTAATTAGGGACTAATATTATTTGAGTTACTATTATTATTATTACTGTTACTAGCAGATATAATTTTTCCCAAGATCTATTTTTATTTTTAATGGGGTGGAGTGGGTATGTGCACATGAGCGTAAGCACCCACAGAGGCCAGAACAAAGGATGGGGTTGCCTGGAGCAGGAATTAGAGGCTGCTGTGAGCTGCCTGATCTGTGCATTCTGGGAACCAGACTCACGTCCTCTGCAAGAGCAGCCTAGCTCTTCTTAGCTGCCCATCACCTCAGGCCTGCCTTCAGATGCTACAACCCTATTAACAGCGAACCTACCTCTGCCTCCTTTCCTCTAATGAGACAGGCTTCTTTCTTCACCCAGTGTCTTCTCAACTTCTTTCTGATTGGGAGGGAATCCGCTCCCCACGGCCCTGCACCACCCACCCACCCCCAAAGAAAGAAAAGACAAAAGCGCTTTGTGCCATCTTTAATGTTTGCTCTCCGCATCAGATTCTGTCTTTTCTGAGGAAGGCAAGCGCACGCAGGAGAGGGATTCAGACATGCAACTCTACATAGGTGGCTCATCCTGAATTATTTGAGTCATTATGTACTGGGTACATTGCTGCCTTTCACTTCGGGGACTTCCTTGGGATTTTATGACTAGCTATTTTCCTACTTAAATCCTGTCATTGACTTCCGGGGAGATGTACCTGAAGTGTTCAGACATTCGGATCCAGGAAGAATAGACGCTCTGTGACAATCGTTCCATAGCTCCCTAACTGGAGGTCATGGCCCAGGTGACAAGGGAAAAAATCACAGTGTTTGAAGGAAACACCGAAGTCCCAAGGCTCTTCATGCATTTGTTTCTGTCTGGTGCCTTTGTCTGGAATTTTATAAGAATTAATACTGTCTTTCTGCTTTCGAGTTCTTCAACCTCTCCCAACCTGGCAAGCCCTCTTAACCAGGTGCTGGGAATCTTGTCTGACATAGTAAATGTTCCAGGTTTTGTGTACGAACTCCAGATATTCCTTCTGCCACTGTGGAGTAGACACACAGCCATATGCCACGTACCAGGCATAGTGCATGTACCGTGAACATGGCCATGTGTATAAAAAAAACACAGACAAAATCAGGCCCAGAATTATCTGCCCCAAGCTCTAGTTTTTATTCTCCTCCAAAGAGCTATTTTTTTCAACACACTGTTTCTTGAGTTGGTTTTTCTCCTGGTGACCATCACTTGGCTAACCTCCTCATTCTCTAAGTTTCTGAAACATGGTCCCTATATGTGTCTGCTGAAATGGCCCTCAGTGATTGTTCTTATCAGCATGTCTAAGAGTCTTTTTCTTTCTGAGGCTCTTTCTTGCTGTGTTGCTCTGGCTAGCTTCTGATTCCCTGTGTAGCCGGGGGATAGCCTTGATTCTCCTGTTTCCACCTTCCTAGTGGACTCCAGGCCTACACCAGCACACCTAGCCCTTGAATTAGTGTTGATTGTGAAATGTTTCTTCCCAGTTTTGTGTGACCTTAGGGGTAGAGCTATTACCTTACTCAGGATTTTCTGTCTTCAACATCGGTATGTTTCTCTTGAATAAGGGAAATAGCCATTAAGGAAGAGAACACTGTTTCCACAAATAAGCTGTTTGGTGGAAGTAGGAACAGTTGTTACAAATTGAGAGTGATTCAAGATGGCATTTATTGCTAATGGTTGCTATGCTTTGGTTCAACAGCCCAGTAGCACTGAAGGGGCCTGTTAGTTCTGCAAGTGTGCTGTGAATTAGTTGTGTGATGGGTTGTTGAAGAGGCCAACTGCACTTCAGCCAGCTCAGAGGACAGAAGTGGGTAGCCCGTCTCTGCCCACTCCTCCTGTGTTACCATTCATTTTCTTGTGGGTTCCAGATAAAAGAGCAAATTCAGGGAAGGTGTATCTCAACTAGGGCCAGTCTGCTGGTGACCATTGAACCATATCCTTGTGAAAACAGTTATCGTTAATGTAATGATTGGATGTGCTAAGACCAAAGAGAAGATCAAGGAGGAAAAGGGAGTCGTGTTCAGATATGTGCATGATGCTGTCTTACAGCACTTCCAGTTATCAGGGGTGAGAGGTAGCATATGTCCAGAGTTTAGGAAATCATTGGAACTGCAGATAAAGAAAGGGTGTGTCCATCAGTGACAGAGTACACCTTCCCACAAAAATGAGAGATGCTCAAACTCTGGCCATCTTTTCCTGTTACTCTGATAAAATGCCCTGACAAGCAGCTTAAGGAGGAAAGGGTTTTTTCTTTTTTCTTTTCTTTTCTTTTTTTTTTTTTTTTTTTTTTTTTTTTTTTTTGTGGCTCACAGTTCATGGGTATATTCTCATGGTGGTGAAGTTAAAGTAGCCCTGGGAAGAAGTTAAGAGGGCTGGAGCTTTGCAGCTGCTGGCCTCTTGGCATCCAAACGAGGAAGCAGAGGATGGTGGGTGCACGCTGCTACTCGATTCCCTTGTCTGATTGTGCAGTCCAGGGTCCTACTAGAGAATGGTACCACCCACAGCTGTACCCCAGCACCATCAAAATAATCTCCCAAATCCCAGCTCAGAGGCCAAACTCTCCGATGGTTCTAGATTCTGTCAAGTTAAAAAAAAAAATTACAGTAACTGCAGCAGTCGACACTTTCATGTGTTAGTTTTTAAAAAGAAAATTAACACTAGCAGTGTGTGGGTGTCAGATGAAGCAGAAAGGGTTAACTGAAAGGACCACAGGATAACTGGAGTGGTCTTTTTGCTAGGCCTCCTATAAGGGTTTTCAGTTATATGCTTTAAGCGTGTGACTTATAAACTGGTAGAGAACCACCTGTGTTGTCCCACACAGACACACACACACAGTTTTAACTTTGCACTTTGCCTTATGTCATCTTAATAGCTTGCCTGTCACGTTCCCTGGGTTGCAAATGTACTGCATTTGGTTTTGTTAAATTCTAGCAAATGCTTGGAAGAGCCCTTGTGAGATGAGAGTTTATCTCGTTCGAAGAACTAAAATTTTATTGTCCTTTTGGCTTTAAAAGTGTTCCATGTGGAGCCCCTTTTTATGGATTTCACATAAACCCTCTCTCCTCCATGAACATTGATGACACACACTTCAGGGGCTCTTTAGTGTCAGTGGAGGGGACTGACTTTATTAGGTTATTTGCACATTCCTCTTGGGTCAGCCTTTGTGTGGCTTCAGATGTGCACCTGGCTTACCTTCTGAAATTAGAAAATCATTCTTAGTAAGATGTGAATTATTGATAACCAATTTTGTTTAGATCAATATGCCGGTTTGAAGAGTAAGGATTTATGTCCATCGTGAAGGTTTTTAGAAACACAGATCAGCTCTCTGCAGGGCATCGTAGGAACACAGAAACTATTGGATTCCTGCCTGTGAGCGTAGATTGGAGGTGGAGAGCGGAGGGGAAATGAGAAACATCACACAACTTTTCCTGTGAGGAGCTCGAGATAGTTCACTTACAAGAAGTCTGGGAATTTTACAAGAGAAGAGCTGTTGTAAGCATCAATACTGCTTATAGCCCCTTGTCAACTGAATAAATGCTTTGAGTGCTGCTATTTTACTGAATTGTCTTTATTATGCCAGAAAAGACACTCTGAGGCTGATTCTATAGAAGGAGAGGGCGGGAGCATTGCAGCCAGTAGACCCTGGCTCTGGGATCAGAATTTAAGTCTTCTGTGCTATTCTGAAAACCCACTCCATCCCCTGTCTTGAGGGTGTCACAATGTTGGCCTGGCTGTCTTGGAAAGTACTGTGTAACCAGGCTGGCCAGGCAATCCTCCTGTTTCTGCCTCTAGAGAGCTAGGATTACAAGGCCCGAAAAATGCTTTCCAGTTGTATTTTGTTTTTTGTGCTGAGGATTAAACCCAATGCATCAATCGTGGAATGCCATTTCCACCAGACTGAGTCATTTCCCCTTTTTGGTGAGGGTTCTGTTGTTTCGGAATTTGTAGAAGAAGGAAGGGAAACTTTAGCTTCCTAGACACGATATCAAATTATTTAAAATAAAAAGAAAAGGGTAATTTGTCTTAAAAACAAAGAAAAGGACAATTAAACTCTGTCAATTCAACTGACTTATTTTATAGGGCAAGACACTTCTTGTAAGGTCTCTTTAGAGTGACCAGGCTGGTCTTGAATGTACAAAGATCAGCTTGCCTCTGTCTCCCTGAGTGCTGGGATTACAGGCTGACAGTTCCAGAGCATGTGAAGTCCAGGAGTGAGACCTTGAGCGAGGGATGTCCATGTTACATAACACCCCCACCACCACAGGAGCTAATCCAGCCACTCCTGGGAGGTCAGAGAACTGGATCCCTAAAGAGCAGGTCAGCCCTGGGGCGGATTTAAAATAAGGATGTTGTAACCTGCCACAGGCATTGTCTACACAATGCCTTGCCACTTTCTTTGGGTTCTACAGTCCAGTCCTGGATGCACTGAAAATGATTCAAGTGTAAAAAACCTGTGAGGCAGAGCTGCTGGGATAGATACTATGAGGTATTCTTCTTTATTAGTGCTTATATTCCAAGACATACTCCACCTTTATTGACCGAGAGATAATGTCTCATGTGGCCTAATCTGTTCTCCAACTCACCTTGTTGCCAAAGATGACCCTGAATCTCCAGATCCTTATGTCTCAACCACTAAGTGTTAGAATATCTGATGTGCTGCCATGACTAGTTTGTATAGTACTGGGAATAGAACCCAGGGCTTCACAGATGCTAGGCAAGTGCTTCACCCTCCCACCAAAAGGGGAGGGGGGAACAACTTGTTTCTATGCTTTGGTGGTTCTCAATTTATAGTGAGAAGCCCTTCATATAATAGAAATTTTAAACTGTCAGTTTCCAGAGGCTGTTTTGATTTCTATACAATTGAGATTAACTGGCAGTTGTCAGCATTCTATTGTCATGGCACTATTCCTGGCAATGTGTATGACTTTTTTTTTTTTTTTTCTTCAGCACCTCTCCCTCTGTCAGACACATGCAGGGCACTTAATGACAGCTAATGAGAGTCACTGTCTAACAGAACATCTCTGGGAGCTACAGGATTTTAATCGTTAAGATGATTCACTACATAGTATTCTTTTTAAGGGAGGAAAACATGCTTTATATCTTTTACCAAAATGTCTCAAATCTTTTCCTGGGGTCAATGTGCTTCTTACATGTGTTTCTTACATGTATGGTCAGACTAATTTAATAATTGCTTAATCACCCTTTTGGAACACTCCAGCAAAAGTCTTGAACTTCATACATTTTGTTTTCTTGAATTTTCATTGTCTGTTCTTTGTCTTCCTTTCTGCACCAACCGGGATGCTCCTCTGGTTTGCACAGATGATTGACCGGATATGTGTGAAGGTTCAGGATCACCTCAACTCCTTACGAACCTGTGGGGGGGATGCTATTCAGGAGGACTTAAAGGCAGCGGAGCGGCTCATGCGTGATGCTAAGAACTCTAAAACGGTGAGTTTCTTCTCGGAGTTCATGAGTCACTGGTACTGTGTTCATCCTGTTTGTACCTGTGCTGATTTCTAATAATGAAAACAAGGAGTGGAGTATGGTGAGAGTTTCAGAGGGTAAAATTGAACCCTGAGTAAGTGTCAACACAAAACTCCCACCGTCAACTCCAACAGGACACCTCCTGTGGTAAAATTTGGCTCCTAAGGCAAGTTTGAGAGAAGCCTGGGTGGCATAGTAAGAACCTGTCTACATCCAAAGAATTTACTCCCCAAAGTGACCTAATAGAAAACAAACTAATTGTGAGTCAGAATTTGGGCTCTTTTCTCTACTGTTAGGATCACATAAGTGGTTTTATTTGGTTGTTTCGTTGTTGTTGTTGTTGTTGAATCTGTGTTTTTTGGTTTTTTTTTTTTTTTTTTGTGTGTGTGTGTGTGTGTGTGTGTGTGTGTGTAAGTCAAAGGGAAACTTGTGGGAGTCTGTTTTCTTCTTCCAGAGATGAAACTCAGTTTGTTAGGCTTTGTGGTGAATGCCCATTGAGCCATCTTACTGGCCCCAGGATCACACTTGCTGAATGTGTGAGGGACCTTACAGATTAGTCAGATAGTCCTGTGCTGCAGTAACAATATATACCGAGCTATTGTCCTTAGACATAGAGGCATGGGGCCTCTAAATCCCTGGAACATTCTGAGTGGCAGGAGTGACAGTAGCATCCTTAGCTACTGATAACCCAAGCTTTCCAGCATGGCAGCATTCGTCCTAATGATTGGACACGGAGGAGGTAACCATAGCTGAGCATTGGCTCTTCTGGCCAATCCACACCCCTCCTAATGAGAGGGCCTAGAGGCTGAGTCAGTCAGTCACAGCCAGTGACATCATGAACCATGCCTCTAATGCAGCTTTAGTGACATCATCAACTATGCCTCTAATGCATCTTCCAGGAATTCTTAAAAGAGGGGCTCAGATAACTCCTTTTGGTGCCATCAAGGGCCTTGAAGCTGGCACGCCTGAAGATGACACAGAAGTCCTCTTCCCCCAAATCCCTGTAGAGCCCTTTTCCCTAAGTCCCAGGTGACACTCTCACCCCTGTACCTGGCAACGTAGTGAGTGCATTTCACTGTCTGGATTGGAAACAAGTGGTGATGAGGAAGGTGCATTCCTGAGATTTGGGAAGCATTTGGGCAGGTCACTGAGCCCAAGGGCTAGGTGGTGGGGACCCGCTTGACTTTCCAATCAGTTTCCCTGAAGTACCGGTGATGACCCTGGATTTGTGACTGGCAGCTGAGTGATGTAGTCCTGTAGGTCTGAGTCCTTTTCTTATGACATCTGACAGTCTAGGCAAAGAGTGTCGGAACTGAGTGGAATTATGAGATAACCAACCGCTGTCTGAAGAGAAGTGGCAAGTCACCTGCATCTTTGGTGACGAGTTAAAAATAGCCCAGTCCTCACAGTGTCACTGTGGCCATATGCCAGCATTGATTGGTTTCACTGAGTATGAACAGCGTGGGCCTCAGTTTACCATCTGTGACTTTGCCCAAGGATGGATGATCTCTATTTCTTTACCTCTTCATAACTCCACAGTGGTCTTGATGCTTATTGAAATATTTGTTCAGTTACACTGAGGTTACTTTTCACCTTTCTTACAGTTGTTACCGAATTTATACCATGTGGGCGGTGCATCCTGGGCGGGAGCCGGTGGCCTGTCATCTAGTCCCATTCAGGAGACCCTGGAATCCATGGCTGGGGAGGTCACGAGAGTTGTCGACGAGCAACTGAAGGTCTGTGGGTCTTGTTATCTTGGGAATGAATTTGCGATGATGTAACTCTGATAGCATTGCATACTGTGACTGCCTGTGTTTATAGGGTGTGTGTATGTGTTCACTAGCTGGGCAGATACATGGGATAGAAGGAAATATAATGTCTAGTCTACTTTATGTGTTTTAGAATGTTTACCTGTGTAGTAAGTCTCACCTTTGGTGGCAAATCTCTAAATGCACCTAACGTGACTGGTTGCTCCTGCTGAGGGGATGATTTCCACACAGGGCACACAAAAACAAAGGGGGAAAATGTCATCACTGCATTTGATGTGGGGAATAGAAAACGTTCGTATGTAAACACTGCCGAGCTACTTACGTGGAGAGTGGCAGTAGAGGCGTAGCCAAGCGTCTTTGACGTGGTTAGGGATGAATAAACAGATTATTGAGAATGGAGCTATAGGGCACCCAAATAAACAGAGGTCTGCTATTGGTTTACTGATTTAAAAAAGGGTGTAAAACATCCCTGAGACTTTAGAGGGTGTGGGTAACCGAAGAGCAGCTTCTTCTAAAGGTGATTTCAAAAATCAGCTGTCCCAGAGGCAGTCCACATTCAGAAGGATTTTGGTCTTTTAAGGTTGCCTTGAGTTTCTCTGATTATTTAACCTGTTTTCTTCTGATAAGGCAGCTTCTGCAGCAAGTGGAGGAGCTGAGGAAACAGATGACAGCTTCATAATATACTAATTACTCTCAGAAGTTAAGCTAACAAGGCGGAAAATGCTGGGGATTCTTAGACATTAATCCATCTCCCTGTGCAGGTCCTGTAGACAGGCTCATGTGGTGTATGAATTTTACTTGCACACTATTTGAATTTGTACCGAACAAAGACAGAGAAGTAGAAAAGAACAGTGGGCTGTTTCAGGGTCTTTCTAGACCACGTGGTAGTACAGAGCACTTGGATCCTTCACGAAGAAAAGGTACAAGGCAGAAATTTCTTATATGAATGAAAATATAAAAACATTTTTTTTTTACATAAAAAAAAAAAGAAAACTTCTGGGAAATCCTTAAGCAACGCCAACAGTAAACTTTTAAAGAATTACCAAAATCCAGAGATCACATCACATTCTGCCTTGGTGGCCAGTCTTGCATCTGTGTGACGGTGCCATGCACATGATTAGGAACCTTTTTACACAAGGCGTCAGTATCACCCACGCAGTCCTAGCAGTAAGAAAGCACCTGTTCAATGGGTGCATTAAAAAAAATGCATTCCACTGCACAGTGAACCACAGTGACCTAGTCTAACTCTTGATGAACTTTGTCAGGGTGAATTGCATAATCACCCCATTGCTGGGGAAGCACCTTATGCTGTGGTATCGATTTACAAACATGTCAGGTTTACTGTGTTCTAGCAGTTCTGAGTACAGCATGACACCTCTAACATTTATTATTGTAATGGGCTAAGAAAAAAAAATACTATGTTTTTATTTCCTTAATAGCATAGTAGCGCTTGGGTATTTATTTATTTATGGCACAAGCTTGGCCTCAGGGCTTTAGGCTTACTGGGTAAGCATCTGATCAATGAGCTACATGTAACACAGCCCTGTGTTTTTCCCATTGAAGATTGCCTATTTCCATCTGTTTCCTTCCTTAGAGCATCCAAAAGAATTTCTTCCAACTGTAAGAATGGCTGTCACTTAAATTGGCATGAAACATGATGGCAGGTCCTTTCTTGTCAAACAGCTTCCACCTGTTGCTGGGTTTTTCATCTTGTCTGAGCCACAGATTTCCCTGTTTCCCCCTAAGTGCTTAAAGTGGTTGAAATTGATTCTGGCTAATTTTCCCTGGGCAGGACTAAAGCATAAATATCCAAAATAGAAGACCTTTGCACTTAAAAGGCCTGAGGTGACATAGATGATTCTGTTCTGTTCACAGGGTTTCCTTATATTTGTTGTGAAGTTTTCTGAGCACTAGTCTAGAATGTCATCAATGTCTCTGCTTGTCACTGTTCTAGAACCTGCTTCTCTCCTCCCTCTAACCCCCAGTTCCCAAGCCCCCAGCAGTCTGTGTGTTGGCTGTGATTGTGTTTTTCCTGCTCCCTGCTCACATGTCAGTCCTGGACCTTGTGAGATTTAAGTTCCTTTTCCTTTAAAAGCATCTGCCATGAGTCACAGCAAGTCCTCATTCAGAGAATCTTAATTCAGCATTACTTTTCAATGGTCTCTTAGCTGTGAAGTATGTATTGTTTTGTTTTGTTTTGTTTTTTTCAAGGCAGGGTTTCTCTGTGTATAGCCTTGGCTCTCCTGGACTCACTTGGTAGACCAAGCTGGCCTCAAACTCACAGCGATCTGCCTGCCTCTACCTCCCAGAGTGCTGGGATTAAAGTGATGCACCTGGCTGTGAAGGAACACCATCTATTTTTAGGGATGTTGGAAGGATGGAAATTTCAGTATCATTTCTCAGATGTTACAGGGCTGTGTACACATATTTTGGCTGTTGCTATTAAGGTTGTTTATAGGGATCTCTGTAAATGTTTTTATCTGTTATTATTCATGCTGCTTACTGGTATTCTTTTATAAGTACTGTTTTACTTAGTACAAAAAAGTTTTTCTCTTAGAAGAGTAAAATTGGGAGTCATTTTGGTGATTTTGTTTTTTTTTTTTCTGCTATTGCATTTTGGTAGAAGTATTCAATGGTTCATTATAATTTCGATGTTTGTGTGATTTGGGAAATTGTCTACATATTTTAGGTTTTGTACTGTTAAACAGGCTTTCCAGGACCTGGGAGCTCAGTCTGCTATGGCAAGTTATGATGTAAAAAGCTGATACTTGTATGTTTTATTCTTCCTACTCATGGCTTTGTGTTAAGTTCAGCTGCCACTCAGAAGTGCCTCAGATGCCTGAGCGAAACCCAGCTCCTGCCAAGTGTCTACTTTAAAGTGATTCCTTGAGTTTACCAGTCACATAGAAGTTACAAATCTCCTGGGAGTAGTCTAGAGTCGTAGGCTGCGCCTCATGGCATTCCTGTCCTCTGAGGGTTTGGTGTAGTACACCTTTGAGTTTTCTGATGGCTGTGTCATTATCTCCCTCTTCTGAATTGCAGGGTTTGCTAGAATCCATGGTGGATGCGGCTGAGACTCTTTGCCCCAATGTGATGAGAAAAGCCCATATCCGACAGGACCTGATCCACGCCAGCACCGAAAAGATTTCCATCCCACGAACCTTCGTTAAGAACGTCCTGTTGGAACAGTCTGGAATTGACATTCTTAACAAAATTAGGTATGTTCATCCTGTTACCAGGCTGAGGAGCTGCAGTACTGAGGCACAGACCAGGTTCCCCGGCAGGCGAGTGCTGGTGGCTTTATCATCAAGGAGCATTTTGAGATGTGGCTAGCAGACTGAGAAGAATATATGTAAACATGGCTGTGCCTTAATGCACAGGTTATACACACAGGTAAGAATTCTGGCCTCGTTGTATCTGTATTGCCTTAGAGCCTGCGCGCGCGCGCACACACCACACACACACACACACACACACACACACACACACACAATCACATATGGAGGAGGACATGATTGTAATTCCTAGTTTGTGATTCCAGCATTTATCTTCTACTTCTAAGTCACTGGCTTAAAGTCTGAGGGTATTTCCCTTGCTCTTTCTCCCTCGATCTCCCTCCCTGCCAGTTTTATTGTTGTTGTCAGTGTTATTGTTTTGAGTGTTTGTTTGCTTGTTTGTTTTAGTTTGCTTGTTTTGATGAGAGGTCCTCAATCTATGGCCCAGGCTGTACTAGAAACTCTGCAGCCCAGTCTAGCCTGAAACTTACAGCAATCCTCCTGCCTCAGATCTCTAGAGTGAGTTCTCTTCCTATTACCATATATTTTTTACCCCAGGCTTTGAAGTCTCTCGATACCTTCTTGAACACCTTGAGGAGAATGCCAAGATCTCGGTATTTAGAAGATGTAATTACAAACTCCCTTGGATTGTCCCTGGTGTCAGCAGTATTAAGACTCCATTCAGCTCTTTATGCTTCTTATTTGGGGAATGCATTGGCTGAAAGCCCAGTTTCAAGGCATTTTAAATTTCCCCTTTTACCTATTTCTGAATATTGATAAAAAAATATTTAGATGAGCAACAAAATGATAGAAGATATCAAACAATAGAAGCATTCTTAAGTCTTCACTTTGTTGCTATACCTTGGTGCCCATAAAGCACCCCTCCCCATCTTCAGAGAGAAGGAAGCAGAACGAAAACTGTGACATACTGAGCCTAGAGGGTTAGAAAGAGACATGATCTCAGGCATAGCTAATGAGAATCAGGAAATGCTTGTTACCATCGGGCTCCGGTGTCCTCTGGAGCCCAGAGGGACTCTGGTCCATGTTTTTGGCATGATATTAGAATGAATCTCCCCTGAACACCTCTGATGTGTTTAACTAAATATTATTCTCCATCAGCATCACCACCACCGTCATCATCATCATGATTTTTAGGCAGGGACTGTTTCCTAGTTTAGGCCAGCCTTAGACTAATTGTCCTCCTGCATCAGCCTTCTGAGTCCTGGGATTCTGATTGTGAGCCGTCACACCCAACTTAAAGTATTAGATACTTAAATACCAGACAAATCAAGTATTAGCGAGACTTTGTTTCATGAGAAAAGGATGGAAGACTCCCCCTGGATAGGTTGGCACAAACATCACAGTTAATCGCCCTCCCCCTGCACCCCAGAAATGAGTGACCTTCCTGAGTAGGGAAGTCCCAGCACAGACTGCCACACATCCAACCGCAGCATTTGGGATAAGTAATTTTGTTTTGACAGCTCATTTGTCTGTTCTGAAAACATAAAAATCATCGATGTCAAAAGCAGGCTAAGCTCAGAAGACAGTTCTAGAATGGAGGTGTGTGACTGACCTCCTAACGCTTTCCTGAAAATCTTGGACATGTGAGCACTTGCTCTTTGGAGTTGGGTGATTCAGTCTCAAAGCTCATGGATGGTGGAGCCTTGTTAATGGTTGAAATGTTAACTAAAACACAAACCATCTGGTAGGAACCCTAGTGGCAAAGCCTGTTACTTAAGACCTATAAGCCTATTTCTGTTGCTGGGGAATTGTCTGGGGTCAGATTAACAGGCATCCGAACTAAAAATTGTCATGGCCTCTGTCACAGTGCATTTTTAACGTTGCCTAGCAGAGAGGCACGTCAGAGCAGAAACAGCATAACAGTTTCATCGGTGAAAAAATTTTACATGATGTGTGTGCGCGTTGAAACGGCAACTCAGGCTTCATAGCCAGACTAGACTTTTTGAGTTTTCTGCAGTCCGAGTCAGCTCATGTCTGTGTCGGCGGGTACAGAGTGCCTCATGCCCATGTGGTTTCTATTGAGTTTCTCTTTATCCAGGTGTTTTCCATTTCTACTGCTAAACCTCAAGTTGCAGATTCAGAGACAAGTTGACGTTGACAATGGACGCCTGTTAATTGTGTGTTTATGGCAGTGCTTAAGGGTTACTTTGGGGAATGCTTAGTCCTACCCTCATGTTCTTCCCATTCCATTTTCAAAGAGAGGAACGGAATCCCAGCTGGCCTATCAGCAAGGCCTCAGAGGAGCATGCCTCCCCCATCCCCGCCCCCACCAAGCCCCCTGTACAAGTTACAGAGCTTCTCTACCCTTTGGTGTCCATAGTGAGGTGAAGCTGACCGTGGCCTCGTTCTTGTCTGACCGAATTGTGGATGAGATCCTGGAGGCGCTCTCCAACAGCCATCGGAAGCTGGTGAGTGCCAGAGGCAGGAGCTAGGCTTTGTCTCTGGGTTCCAGGAAGGGGTGGGGTTTCTCTTCTCTGTCTTTTGTGCGGTGTGGAGAGCCTGGCATTCCTCCTTCCTCTTCTGCTGCTTCTAGACATCCATTAGAATTAAATGACACGGGTAGAAAAAGAGAGCACTTGTAGAACTCTTGTCCAGTTTTAACGAAGTTCAAATGTTTGGGTAGATGATGTTAAGACTAAATCTAAAATGAACACATTTAGGTATATACTGCACACGTGCTGATATTGCTCCAGTAGGATTATTTCAGAATGAATTTGGGGTTTTGAGACAGGTCTTACTTTAGCTCAGACTGACCTTTGGCTCAAGGCAATCCTCCTGCCTTGGCCTCTGTCAGAATATATTATTTCTTATGTTTATGTGAACAGGGTGGGGCCAGGGGAGAGAAGCAGTCTTGCAGCCCACACTGAGCTCCGTTTTCTACGTAGCCAAGAATGACCTTGAACTCCTGATTCTCCTGCCTCCCCCTCCTCTTGAATGTGTGTGCTGCCAGCTAAGACTATTCTTTCAAATCCAAAAGACAGTTTATCTCTAGCATCAGTACTCCAAATATTGCCTGTGGTCTCCAGCTGGCCCAGTAACACATATTACCAATCTGTGAACATTCATTAGTTGAGAAACCAGTTGGGGGCTACTGAGAAGTTTCTAGAATAATTCGACAGGACCACAATATTTATTCGAGCACATGTTATCTTCTAAATTCTTCTATGTTGTATTTTGTCAACATGCAGCCCTGTGGTGACTATATATAGAAAACAGATTTCTGGCCTATCAATCTGAGAAGCTGTATTCCCATCTCCTGGCAGCCAGTAGTAACTTCATTATTTAGAGTCCTCGGTGGTGTGCCCTTTTTAAAAATGTATCTATTTGTTTAGAGACATGGTCTCACTATGCAGCCCTGGCTGGCCTGGTACATGCTATTTTAGAAACATCTTTTGGATGCCCCATGGGTCCAGGAAGCTGTCAGGATGCCACCAATAAAGAATGATGTTTTGGAGGCTTTCTCAGGAAGTTTGAAATCTGCTGTTGTGCCTTTCGTTAAGAATGTATTCGGGATTTTTTTTTCCTTCCTTTTTTTTTTTTACGCTTGAAAAAGTTTTGTATCAATTTACTTCATTATGTACTTTCTCCAACTTAAGTGAGGAAGGCTGTATTTGGGCTCATGGCTGGAGGGCACAGTCCAGCCTGGTGTGGCTGGCATGGCAGCAGGAGCGGAGGCAGGGGGGTCACATTGCATCCACCACAGGAAGCAGGGAGAGGTGAATGCTGCGGCAATACTCTTTCTGCCCTCTCCCTTCAGTCTGGAACCCCCACTTATGAGGGAGACACCTGCCTGCAGGTAGCTCCTCCCTGCTCAGCGCCAGACAGGCCCAGCTGGGATTCCTGAGCAGCACTGACAGTGAACAGCACCATACTGTTGTGATGTCTTGAGCTTCATTTCAACATCAGTTCTGCTGATCTGGGTTATAAGTAGAGAAATTTAAAGTATTGTATGGAAATAATGCTACTTTAGGAGTGAAGGTGGATTCAGTTAGTTTCCTTCCATGGGAGTTTAGGGACGTTGTTGGGGCTCCTGTGGATTTTGTCAGCTGCTTCTTATCCCCTCAGAAGTAGTTTCTGGTCGCTAAATCAACCCAGTGCATTCCACACCATACTATTGGATTTTCTACAATTACTAAAACATAAAAATGGGAGTAATGACTCACCAAATGTGGTATTCCACACATAAAAGCAATGGAAGGTAGCTTATTAAGCTTCATTTTCTTTTAGTATTTAAAAAAATTAATGAAAGTTGGGAGGATCATTTTTACCATCATTAGATATTGTGAAACAACTAGACACAGAATAAAGTAAGATTGATAAAGATTAATTGAATAAGATTAATAAAAAGAAAACTACTTATTTTATCCTCAGGGAAATAGTATTTTCATTTACTAATTTTAAAGATATTTTTCAAAGATGTGTTTTTTTGTTTGTTTGTTTGTTTTTATTGGGTGTGTTTGGGTGTATCGGTGCTGGCACGCGTATGGAGGGAGATCTCTTCCCACCATGTGGAAAGTAAACCTCAGGGTTCACTTACCCGGTCTGTCTTGGTGGCAGGGGCATTTACCTGCTGAATCCAATTTTCCAGTCCTGATCTCTGCTCTTTTGAGGTTTCTTATATCTCGCTTACTTAGCCCCCACTCCCAGAGTCGGAAGGAGGGACTAGTGTATATTGATTCAGAATTGTCACTGAAGCCGGGCTTGTTGGTAACACCTGGGATCCCAGCACTCAAGAGACGAGGCTGAAGCAAGGGGTTCTAGGTCAGGTAGGATTAGGTAGTAAGACCTATTTAAGAAACGCCAAGCTAATTGGCTAATCGCTTAATTGAATAACAGCTTTTCCTTGACTGCTTTGCCACCGTGGATGATGTCTTCGGGGATTCACTAACCTCCTCTTGATTTCCGCTTGTGGTCTCTCGACGCCAGGCTGACCATTTCAGCAGGCGAAGCAAGAGCCTCCCCCAGCGAGAGGCCCCAGACACGGAGCTGGTGGAGGAGAAGCCGGTGAAACGGGCCGTACTCACCGTCGAGGACCTCACCGAGGTGGAGCGGCTGGAAGACCTGGACACCTGTATGGTAAGTCATGGCGCCTGCGGGCGCCCCTGGGTGGCTTGTAAAGTCTCATCGTTTGAAATCTGACTCTCGCATCAGAACCTGGGGAGAGAACCGGGACCGTATGAAATAAAGCAGCTTCCGGGTTCCGAAAACACACGTGTTGTGCTGATGTGTAGAGAGGAGTAAGCGTGTACCTCCTGGATCGAACTGCTCAGGATGACTCAGGAGGGCGTGGCCTTTCTCGGGGTCTGATGGCCCGTAGATTCCTAATTTCCTGTTAACTTCAATTTCAGTGCGTACGTTTCTGGGAAGACCCAACATATGCAGCTGAACTAGGGAAGGGTGAGGGTCCTAAATAAGGCTCAGACATTACATCAATCTGGATGGAACGGTTACTTCTCGGATCAATGATACATACCGTTGATCTCTTTGAAGGAAAAACAAACAAACAAACAAAAAAAACAAAAAAACGGTACTCTGTCAACAGCTATTAAATTTCAGTTCTGGCAGCTGGCAGTGGTGGCCCACGCTTCTAATCCAGTACTTGGGAGGCAGAGGCAGGTGGATCTCTGAGTTCGAGGCCAGCCTGGTCTATATAGTGAGTTCCAGGATAGCCAAAGCTACACAGAGAAAGTCTGTCTCAAAAAACAAAAACAATTAGGTACTGGCTGAAAGAAGAGAATGTCTGAGTTCGTGACTAGTGTCCCGTCCCGCGGGACTTAGTTATTTGTGGGGGCAAAGGGGGTCAATCCTGAAAAAGATGGGGGAGAGAGAGAGAAAGGACACAGCAGACGGTTGCCGGTCAAGTGTCCGCTTTATTGAACTTTGGTGTTTCTTTTAAAACGTGGTTTTGGCAGGGCGGGGGAGAGGGGCGAGAAAGGGAAGTAGTAGTGGAAAAATACTGAGACCCTTGGTGGGAAGTTCCCAAGGCTAAGAAGGTGGGTTAAAGAGTTACAAGGCCCGATGGTCACATCGGTGGTCACGGATGTGTCCCAAAGCAAACAGTTTCGGGAACAATGGGTCGTAAGAAGCTATGGCCTGCTGGTGCCCGGTGCTTATCTGGCAGGTCAGGCCCTTAGGAAGGGTCCCAGGGCTTTGTTCCCAACAGACTAGGCTCTTGTGGTGGTGGTATGTTTACCTTGTTTTGAATCAAGGCCTTTCTCTATAGCCCGGGTTCACCTGGGACTAAATATATCCCTCAAGATGGCCTGAGTCATGGCAGTCTCCATGTCTCATGCTGGGAATTACAGATGCGAGCCACCAGGTGATGGTGGTGGTTAGTGGTCTTTTGTCTTGTTTTTGAGACAGGGCATGAGTAACCCAGGCTGACCTTGGCCTCCTGTATGTGGAGTGTGACTGAATTCTGACTCCTGCTGACTCAGCTCCCCAGGCACGGGGATGGCAAGTGTGCTCCACACACCCTCCTTTGCTGTTCCTCAGATGTGGTGGTGCACGCCTCTAATCCAGCCCTTGGAAGGCAGAGGCAGGCAGAGCTCTGTGAGTTTGAGGCCTGGTCTACAGAGTACTTAAGTGTTTCAGGACGGCCAGGGCTGCTACGCAGAGAAAGCCTGTCTTGAAAAACAAGACAACAAAACAAAACAGAAAACTAGTAACAACAACAGGAAAAACAAAAGTCAGAAAAAGGGCATGGGGTGGGGTGGAGAGCTGACTTAGTGATTTCCAGCACTTGCTGGTCCTTTAGAGAAATGAGGGTGCTCTTTTATCTGCACCGAGCTTATAACCACAGAAACTAGTGCCAGGGAATCTCACATATCTGACACCCTTTTCTGCCCTTCTTGGCTATTTACAAGTATGTCCATGATCATGTATGCACGCGTACACATACACACACATGAATAAATAATAAATCTGTAAGAAATGTATTTGCTGTTTACACCATCTGCCCTTTCACACAGCAGGGAGTCTTAGGAAAACTGCCAAAACTGCAGTTTTCTCCATGGGCTTCTTGTGGGTGTTCAGGATTTGAAGGGTGCAGTTCTTGTGTTACTGATTAATGATCCCTAATTTGTCACCATTTCTAATATAATGCCTTTAAAAACTGCCAGGAGGTTGGGGTGGAGGTGAGAAGCCAGTGTCTGGGGGTTGCTGGCTCACTAATTGTCTGTCATTCTCTCGGTTATTTTAATGAGTGTCAGACCAGTTCAAAATAAAAAAAAAAAAAAGACATTCCTGCTGAAGAGCCATTCATCTCCTACTGCTATTTGCTTGGAGGAGAATTAGAGCAGGCTTGAATTAACTAGAACAAGGCTTTGCAAATTTTCTCCCCAGAGATTATTTCCCTCAATACTTTCCAGCCACATAATTCAATACATAATTTTAAGCTTTTGAATACAGTCTAAAATTTAGTGAAAGTGTACTTGACCTGGTCAAGATACCATTTTTTAAAACTAATTTAAAGAAATTGCCTCATTTTCTGTGTGGAAGTTCAGACTAGGTGTAGTCCAGGCTGGACCTTCAACATTTGTGAACCCAACAATAACCTTGAACTTCTAATCTTTCTGCCTCCATGATTTCAGTGCTGTATTCCAGGCATACGTCACCATGTCAGCTTTTTCGCAATGCTTTTTCTTTTTCTCTTTGAGTGTGTTTGTGCGCATGTGGGAACACCCGTCTATGCAGGTGTGTATACAATACGGAGGTCAGAGGTCAAACTCAAGTGTCATTCATCAGGAACTGTCTACCATGTATTTTGAAACAGCGTCTCACCGTGGGACTTGGTGCTTGCCGGTTCCTGCCTCTGCCTCGACGGAGATTACCGCTGTACGCCGCTATGCTCAGCTTTTTAAACGGGTTCTGGAAAGTGGGCGTGTGACAACTTTTAGTTACTAGGGTCTCTCTCTCTCTCTTTCTCACACACACACACACACACATTCACATTCGCATACACGCTCTCTCTCATGCACAAACACATGCGGTCTTGTTTCATTTCTACTGTGGAAATATTCAAACAAAAGGAGATGAGCTTTATTTTACTTCACAATAGAAAAACTTTTTATGTGCCGTTTGAGACTGACTGCTGTGTAGTGCAGGCTGTCCTGGAACTCCTGACGCCCCAGCCTCCAGTTTCTTGATGTTTGTTGATGTACCCACTACACCTAGTGACTGAGAGAGAAAAAAGAAAAAGATCTTTTGTTTGCTTATTTTGTTTTGTTGAGGCAGAGGTTTTTTGTCTTGGTTCTGAATTCAGTGATACTTAAATTTGGGAACTTGGTGTATTAACAGTGAGAGGGCATGCCTATCAAAGGGGAGAAAGATGGAAGGTCCTTAATGGAGACCTGTCACCTAGGTCCTAGGTGATGGACTGTGGCTGCTGGCCCTCCAAAGAACCCAGGATTTTGGTGTGGTAGCACATTTGTAAGGTAGAGAAATTACCGTGAATTTGAGTTGTAGCCTGTGCCACATAGCAGTAAGAACTGTCTTAAAAAGCATTTTCTTTGAAGTGTAAACATAGTATTGGATTACATCAAGTAAGTGTCTGTTTCACTTGTGTGAGAAATTGCCATGTACTTTATTTCAGGCTTCCTTAAATAGGAGGCACATGGAGCTGAGGAGATAGCTTAAAGAGTAAGGTGGCTGACAAACAACCAGAGCGACCTGAATCAGATATTCAGCATCCATCTAAAAAAGCTGGGTGTGGCCACACACACCTATAATCCCAGCACTGGAAACGGAAGCATCCCTGGGGCTTGCTGATGAGCCAGCCGAGCTGTACTGTTGAGGTTCAGGGAGAGGCTTTCTCCCAAAACATGATGGGGAGAGTGATGGATAGGAAGACACTTGACCTCGACCTCTCACCTCCGCACACATGGGAGCATATATACATATACCCACACTAAGAAATAATTAATGTCGTAAATAGGAGGCAACTCCAGGCATTGACCTTCCTCTCTCCAGTCTGAAGGGCTGCAGTTTAAGAAGGGCACAGCAGAAATGCAGGGTGGAAGAGAATATGAGACCCTTGAGACTCTGGGCTGTGTAGGCGAATCCTCTACCCCTTGTCCCTGTTTTTTGATCCCTCAATTCCTTCCCTTAAATGAGGTGTGATATATGTCATTGGTCCCCATTAAGGGCCCATTGAGTAAACTATCTCTGTGAAACTTATCATTGGCCAAGTATGATGGTGCATTCCTTTTATCCTAGCATCTGGGATGCAGAGACAGAATGAACTCTGTGAGTTATTAGCCACCCTGGTCTGTATAGTGAGATCCTGTCTCAAAAACAAACAAACATATTATTATGCTGTTTACATGGTATGTATCATGGGATGACATTTCATCCCCAAATGTCATTGTTACAAAAGAAACTGCCCATTTTAGCCAAGAGTGACGGCAGTTCCCGACAGTGTACGCTGTACTCTTAGAGACAGTTGTACCCTTACTGAAACCTAGTTTCAGTATTATAGGTTTAAAAGCTCGGAGTAGAGTGAATGTGTTTAACTCTAAAAAGCAGCTAGAGCCTTAAGTATCCTTTGTGATATTCAACTATAATTCGGACCTCACTCTTTTTCTTCATCTTAATTTACCCATTTAAAAAGAAATCTGTCTTATATGTACCTAAGCTCCTCTTTGGATTGAAGTGGTTCTTCCTTAATAAACCTGAAAGTTAGATATAATTAGACAGAGTGTTCTAAGAGAGGAGTGCTGGTTGCTGTGAAAACAGAGAAGACCACTAGAGGAGGGATGTTGTTAAGGAAGGCTTCCTGAAGAAAGGTTCTAAACATTGTACCAGGTACACAGTCACTGATGGCATACTGGCATTTGGAAAAGCAGTTGGCATAAGGAAACAATTTCAATGTTATTTGTTACACTGTCACTAGAGTGAAGGGAAACAGGATTACTGACCCTGGAAGGGAAAGCAGAAGGCATATTCTCACTATATCTAGCCTTGTAGTGCAAGGGGTGGACTGGAAGAGACAGGTTTGGGCAGATTCAGATGTTAATGATTCCCATCAAGATGCTTACAGAGCCCTGGTGAGCTGCTGGTTTGTGGGAAATTAATGA